TAAATCAATATTTTAAATCTTAGTATCTGAAAAAATATATATATCATGTAAAAAATATTTTTATATGAATTTGTCACCTTTTTTTATCATATTTACTTAAACCATTTTTGTATATTAGTATAAATAAAGCAACTCTGCTCCTAAATTATGAAGAAACTTTCACATTTGACTGCTGGTCTTTTTTCCGCTTCTGGACGATAACCCTCAACTTGTTCTTTGTGCATTTCTGGATTGTTGTTATCCCCTTTTCGTTTCCGATATTCTCTACGATTCGTCATTATTAGATACAAATATTGTATCGATTCAATACTTTCCATACCATCTTCAACATTAAATTGATTCCAAGGGAAGATTCCTTTTGTCTCTGTATATAAATCGATCAATGCAGGCACCAAAACCAATCCACAACCATAAATGCAATCACCACTCGATTGATTTTGATTTTGGAGTTCGATCGCCGGGAAAAATGGCAGAAAAAATGGTGAGATATGGGATCATCGGTGCCGGAATGATGGGGCGAGAACATCTCTGTAATCTGTACCATCTCCGGAATGAAGGCGCCGCCGTGGTTTGTGTCGCCGATCCTCATCTTCCGTCGCAACAGATTTCCGTGGAATTTGCGGAGTCCTTTGGTTGGCCACTCAAGGTACAACTCGTTAATGCATAAATGAATGTGGATGCATATTTAGATATATACATATACGTACAGGTACAGCTTCCTAATGCACCATGCGTCATACATGTGTGTGTATCTGCTTATAGTTTGTACAGATGTTGATATTCACATACACCTATTCATCCATCTTTCCATGCACGCGTATATACAAATATATATATATATATATATATATATATATAATATTTGAGACCTATATAATCATTTACGAAACCGATTAATTGTGCAAACTTTTATATGTTTTGTTTCATACAAAACGTGTGAAAATGCAATGTTTACAGTGTTTTCCAGACTCAGTGGCCTGAATATTTCACATATCAAATAACACTGAATAGCCACTTTATTTTCAAGCGTACACATGGAAATTGTTTTATAAATTTGTATGAACGTGTTCTATAATTGGGAAGGACAGATTTGGAAAAAAAAAAGCTTGTCTTTCGGCATAATGGCTCCCCCCTATAAACTTACTGAATCAGGAACCTTCTATATCATTAAACCACTACCAAGCACTCACTATAAGCTTATTGAACAAAGAACGTTTTATATCATTAAACCACTACCAAACACTCATTGATAGTTGACCCAATAAATTGTGAGAACTTTTACTTTTTATTTTGAAGAAAGTACGGAGAATCTAAAACTTTTGGGCTGAATGATATAACAGGTCTTTTCAGGACATAAAGAACTACTGGATAGTGGGCTTTGTGATGTTGTGGTTGTTTCAACTCCAAACATGACTCATTATGAGATCTTGATGGATATCATCAACCACCCAAAACCTCATCATGTGCTGGTGGAGAAGCCTTTGTGCACTACTGTACAAGACTGCAAAAAGGTTAGTTTTGTAATTTCACAAATAAATAACCCTTATCAATCAGACCTTTTTAATCTTCTGTAAGCATAGGCTAAAGGTCCTTATCTTGTTAAAAGAAAAGTCTTATCTTGTAATTATGTAAGCTTTTTGTACATCTTACTCCATGGCTCTACCTTTGGAGGGAAAGATTGCACAAGGCCCGAGCTTTTTCGGGGAAGGATTTCCGAGTCGGTTTTTCCAGAAAGAAAAAAAAGCTCGTCTTTTTCGGGCCTACACAGGGTTCTGGAGTTGAAACTTGAAAGAGGACTCAATCAGGCTTTTATGGGCTTTTCAAGACGGGTTTAACAGGGCCTTAATAAAAAGTGGGCCTGGGATTTAATGCTGAGTCTGGTCCGGGCTTCAAACTTGGTTTTTTTGTACATCACTAGATGGGAATGGGATATATCGGGTCTGTTTGGTTTGATTTTGCTTGTTTCATTGCTATATCCCTTGTATTGAATTGTGAATGAATGAAATTGGGACCCAAAATGGTTGTGATACAGGTGATAGAGGCTGCTAAAAAGAGACCAGAAATGCTGGTACAGGTTGGATTGGAGTACAGATACATGCCTCCTGTGGCTAAACTGATAGACATAGTTAAGGGTGGAAAATTGGGGCATGTGAAAATGGTTGCAATCCGGGAACATCGGTTCCCATTTCTGGTTAAGGTAGTCTTATATATAAGCCGTTTAGTTGTCCTGCAATTTCTTTAAATGATCACGGGTTCTTGATCACTCGATTGGGTTCGTTTTATAGGTCAACAATTGGAATAGATTCAATTGTAACAGTGGAGGTACGCTGGTCGAGAAATGCTGCCATTTTTTCGATCTGATGAGGCTGTTTGTAGGTGCATATCCAGTTCGAGTTATGGCTTCTGGAGCAATTGATCTTAATCATAAACATGAAGTCTATGATGGAAAGGTATTGTGCATCCCATTCGTGTTAGTTCAATATATAACTATGTCAGCTATATTCTTTGAGGCAGATGTCAGCTTTATTCTTTGAGTCAGAGGTCGGTCTGTGTACATCTCATCCCTGGTGGGACCACAGATGCGGACCCATGTATCTATCCATGTGGGTCCTCCCCCCTATGGGACCCTACTTTTAAGTAGGATTTACTAGGTCAGTTTGGTTTGGTTTCAATGTATGCTCATCCTAGGAAAAACAGTGTAATTTCTCTTTAAGGGTAAAATCGACCTGAAAAGGAAAATATAACTGATAAATGTTGCTGATTTTATGCCCTTGTGATTCAGGTTCCTGATATTATCGATAATGCATATGTTATCGTTGAATTTGACAATGGTGCGAGAGGCGTGCTTGATCTTTGTATGTTTGCGGAAGGAAGTGTAAACGAGCAAGAAATATCCGTTGTTGGTGAACTCGGGAAGGTATATATAATTTACCAAATATAGTAAGAATCTTAGGCAACGACCATGGTCTAACGGACCCTTTATATGGCTTTTGGATATGTTAATTTGCAGGGTGAGGCATTCGTCCCCGAGAATGTTGTTCGTTTTGGTCTGCGAGTCGAAGGGAGAGATGGTGTACGTCGCATGAGAGTTGAAGATCATCGAATTAAGTACGTTTCTTGATCTTTTTCCATCAAATCGTTAACAATTCCCCCCGTTTTTGTTCGTTTACGGATAATCTTAATCCTCATCTCAAAATAAATGTCCAAGATAAAAAAGTCAAACAATTTTAAAAAGGGCAAATTGTATGAAAAATTAACGTAGATTCATATTTTGGGTAACATACTTTCAAAACTTTTATTTTGGTACCTAAAATGTAAAGTTTTAAACATTTAAGTACCCAGGTAACCGGTTGAAACATTAACCGGTTACCATGTTGATATAATGACTGATGTGGTATCTAACTCAATATTATTTGCTGAAACAACCCATTACAAGTAGAAGTGGGAAGTAACCCATATTTTTAAAAGTGAACATTTATTTTCAGAGAGATGAAAACAAAAAATGAACTGTTATTTTTGGAAGTACCAAGATGGTCTTAGGACTTGTTTGTTAGCAGTTTAACGAGCTTAGGACTCACAACTTATTCGGTCAGTTATATATATATATATATATATACATTAATCCACACAGACAATTTTATTACAGTCAGTCTCTTACGATCTTGCTATTGTAGATATGATGGGCTGCACCATGGGTCAAGTTACTTGGAACATCTCAACTTTTTGGCTGCCGTCAAGACTGACGGTAAGAAAACTCCGGCGGTGGACCTGCACGACGGGTTGATTGCGGTGGCGATCGGTGTTGCAGCGCAGCTTTCGATTGAGAAGGGTAGATTTGTTAGCATTAAGGAAGTCATTTCCTAACAATTTGGTCTTAATTAGTATTATATAAATTTCCTCAGCTTCTAATGATATTTTATTAATTGTATTTTTTTATCTTATAATTAATGTTTGGATAAAATTTAGAAATTTAAATAATATAAAATGTGTGAAATCCCTATCACTGATGCAGTAGTTTGAGTGTCTGAAATGGAAGATTAAAACATCTTTTTTTTAATCTTTTAAACATATTTTTCGATGCCAATCATGTTATTGAACATTAGAAATAGTCAACCAATAGATCAAATTGGACCCGACCCGATTTGGGACCGATCAGGACCATTTATGGCCCGATGGTCTGGCAATCGTTACACTTTTTTATCGAATTTTAAGGCCCAGTCCGGCCCCAGTGCAGGACCGACGATGTTTAGGCCCGATTTAAAAAAATGATAAATTATAATATAAGTTTCTAACGATTTTTACAACCTGTATTTCGATTTCGATGCTAATTTTAAAAAATTGTAATTAAAATAACATGTCTCTAACATTTTTATTTAAAATTTTTTTACTTTTTGAAACCGGGCCAGGCCTGGGACTATCAACCAAACATAGATTGGTCTTAGAATTTTTGGTTGGAACCAGAGTCCAGAAGGTAGAATCGGCCTAAAACTTACGAATCATTTTTAATGACCCGGCCCAATAATTACATATCATTTAATGATCCGGCCCAATATCTATGGACCCAAAACAGCCCAGCCCACTGTGTTTTACTTTAGTCAACTAATGCCCGCCATTTATAAAGAACCTCGCAACCAGGCTCTGGTTGTCATTCTTCTTCACGCTTCCATCTTCAAGCCTCTGCGTCTCCACATCACAGGTACCGAATTCTTCCTATGGTTTTCGAATTCTTCTTATGCATTCTTCTTCCTATGGTTTTCGATTTCTTCTTCCCGTGGTTTTCGATTTCTATCTGTGGTTTGTTCTTCTAGGTTTTCGGTTTACTTGTTGTAGATAGGTTTTCTGGTTAGATGTGTTTTTCGATCAAATGAAATCTCCTATGGTGGAAGTCGATGGTTTCTGGCGATAAATGTATTGATTTTGGTGTGAATTTGCACAATTTCTAAGTGTTTTTTTGTTGGTAACTTGGCATGAATGTGTGTAGAATTATTTGAGCAGGTTTCCTTTCAAGTGTTTCATGTTTCCTGTTTCATGTTTCCTTTCAGATGATCAAATCGTTTAAATTTACCTCTTTTTATATTAATAGCTATTTATTTGAAGATTTTATCAAATGGTTGTGACAAAAATGTAGACCAAGGGTAAAATGGTAATTTGTGATATACAGACGGGTTTATTCATTCAGGTTTCGAGAGAAAACGAACCCTACACAACCAACAATGGCCGCCGCAGCTTCTCTTGCAAACCCAACCACATTTTCCTCCTCCTTAAGCCGCAGTCGCCATCACCAGCCTTTTGCTTCTCTCGCCACCTCGAATGTCTTCAATGCCACGAAACAACGCTCATTTAAACCCCTAATTTCCCAATCTATCGTTTCTTCCACCTCACCGGTGACCCGTCGTACATCCGTTGTTGCTGCAGCAACGGCCAATTCTTCTTCATCGGCTTCCAGCACCTCATTTCACGGACTGTGCTATGTCGTCGGAGACAACATCGACACCGACCAAATCATTCCCGCTGAGTACCTAACGTTAGTCCCATCGAAACCTGAGGAATACAAGAAGCTCGGTTCCTACGCTCTAATCGGACTCCCTGCTTCGTACGAGACTCGATTCGTCGAGCCTGAGGAATTCCAGTCCAAATACAAAATAATCATTGCCGGAGACAACTTTGGATGCGGTTCGTCACGTGAACACGCTCCGGTGGCGTTGGGAGCAGCGGGAGTAACGGCGGTGGTGGCGGAATCGTACGCGAGGATCTTCTTTAGGAACTCGGTTGCTACAGGAGAGGTTTACCCATTGGAATCAGAAGCTAGGGTTTGCGAAGAGTGCAAAACTGGAGATGTGGTGACAATTGAGCTTGAGCAAAGCCTTCTGATCAATCATACGTCTGGAAAAGAGTACAAATTGAAGCCAATTGGTGATGCTGGACCTGTGATCGAAGCTGGTGGGATCTTCGCTTATGCTCGAAAAGCTGGAATGATCCCTGCTTAATAATAACTGGAGGTATTTCATCAGATCCATTATCAACACAAATTTCATCTCTGAAACTGCAAATTATATGTTCCATTTGGGCATGAATTTTGTTTAATTTGGTGGAATTCAAACTCATAGCTTGATCATTCTTGAGATTATGAAGATATGTAAGTAATTCTTCATCTTTTTCAATGAAATCATATTGGATTCATGAGAAAGATTTGTGGTTTTGATTTGTTTTGGTGCATCAGATTTCCATTGATGATGATATGAAGTTTTTGGTGTCTGAATCTTGAGTCATTTCATCATCCATCTAATAATGACACCAAACAGTTGTTTGCAGGTGACTTATTGGGCATGTAGACAAGTACAAGAATAATGTTGAAGAAAGTGTGGTGGGATTATTGCTTTTGTATTTTTCATTCAGGTAATAAGAATGCTTAATATATGAGTTTTGTGTATTAATATTTAGAACAAGGGATGTACTTACAAAAGAACAATTGTGAAACTATGAGGCCTGTTGTTTGTTACCCTCTCTATCTACTAATTTTCTCCTCACACATATCAACAGATACATACTTTTTCAATACATGATTTGGTATGATTGTGTCATTACAATTAGAATTGCACCGAATCAAACAAACAAACTTGGGGAGAGTAAGACTCTGGCAGGCAGGGACGGACCTAGAAATTTTAAATTTTTTCAAACTGTGGCACCATTTGGCTATAGTGAAAAAAAATTCAAATGGTGGCACTGGTTGACTATAAGAAACAAATATACGGAATTTCTTTTAAACGGTGGCACCATTTGACTAAGAAAATGACACTAACAGGATTCGAACTTTGAGTCTAGGGTGGAGTAAAAGCCTTGCAAACTAACTATACCAAATAAAATTTGTTCTCATTGTAGTTTCAAAATACATATGGTGGCACACAACAAATTAATACGGTTGCACATTTCACGAACATAATTTTTTTTACCTTTCAACGGTGGAATAATTCGATGGCACGTGCCACTTATACCACCAAAGTAGGTCCGTCCCTGGACTCAATTCAGGTCAACAACGAAGATTGGGTTTGCAGCAGAACTGGGTTCGAGGTTTGTTTTTCAAAAATCATTGCTTGGTTTGATTCAATGTTGTTTTTTTTCTTAGTTTTTAGATGACCGATTGATCATGCATGTTATGGCTATACGCTTTACGAAGCTTTTGGGTTTATTAAGACAACTTCATTTGAGATTGACGATTGAAAACGATTTGTATTTAAGACTATAAATGAGTTTAAGAGATTAGCTCTGATTGTAATAATCAACTGGTCGGAAGATGAGAATTTCTTAACCACACACGTGGTTTTTCTAACTCAAAGAAGGCAACCAAAAGGGATTGTGCTAAAAAAAAGGATTATTTTCAAGATTTTATGTATGATGTGCAAGAATTTATGTAAGAAATAAGAGATAAATACCGAGAAAAGAAAGGAAGAAAAAAAAATCTAAAAGAAAATATGATGATTAATGTTGCAAGAAGATTACATTTTTGAAACTATAAAGGTTGTGTCCGATTGGTTTGAGTTTGAGCTCCAAAGATCAAAAGTGTCTCGAGGTCCCAAGTTCACATTCAAGGAGGAATAAAAATCTCCTTGTGACCACGAAGGTTCAAATATGGTGACTCCAAACTACCCACAAAACAATTGATCGTCCTGTAATTAGTCAGCTCGTATAACAGGTTGAATATCAAGATTAATAAAAAAATAAGTCAATTTTGATGTTTAATTGATTTCTGTATAATTATATAATAACACATAACATGTGTTTTTGTTGTATTAAATTTATTGTATTTTCAATTATTATTTAAAGATTGATTTACAAGATTTGTATTTAATATTGGTATGGGGGCATGTGGAGTATATATTGAAGAGAAGTCTACTTAATAAATTATACCTTTTATGATTTTGTAATCTTTGTGATTAAAATATAACATTTTTAATTGTTGTATGTAAGATCTACATGCAATTTTTAATAATATTTGATTGGTGTAAAAGAAATATACTTTGACCAAGTTATATAACATCATAATAATGTTACTTGCATAATATAATGAGATATATTTTGATTTAATTGTTTTTTTTTAATTTTTTGTTTATTGATATAATATAATTTTATATAATTTTGAGAAAGTGATAATATTTTTAATTTTTAATAAAATATAAATTTGAAAAAAGAATATCGGTATTAGTATCAAATTAATCATTTAAAAGTTCTTGTTTTTTTGTGTAATTTCTTTTATTCATTTTTTTTATTATAATTTAATTTAGGTTTAATAATGAATCAATTTATTTTTGGTTTAATAATATAATTTTTTATAAAGATAATAATTAAGTATTCTATTAGTTTAATAACGAATCAATTTATTTTTGATTTAATAATATAATTTTTTATAAATATAATAATTAAGTATTCTATTAAAACTCAACGATTATCGTAATTATATTTTAGATTTTTTATATTTAAAATATGATGTTTATCCTGTATATGATTATGTTTATCTGTAATTAGTAACACGAATTCAAAAATAGAGGTTTAATAAGTTGTACTTGTGTACAATTTACTTGCAATCTTTAATTTTAATTAATAAACAATACTTCATACATAAAAAATGGTTTTCAAGAAGTATTAATTTTAATAAGTATTGTATTAATAAACAATACTTCATACATAAAAAATGGTTTTCAAGAGTTTTTATCAAATGTTTTATAATATAGTATAGATAACCGTTTAAAGATAAGTTTATTTGAAACACAAATGTTATGTACAGAAGTTAATAAACGTTAAGTTTATTTGAAACATTAAATACTAAAAAAAATTAAATTGATAAGAGAATTGGGCCTTTTTTGAAAAGCAGTTGAACGTAATTATACTGATTAGGATTACTTTTTTCAAGGACAACGGGTTAAGAAGGACCATAACTGGTACATGATTCCATCTAGGCATAGTTGTAGGACCAATAAGAACGAGTACGAAGAGCGAAAGCAAATACATGGACCCGCTCCATGATTTCGTCTAGGCATAGTTGTAGGATCAACAAGGACGAAGAGTGGGGTTTAGACATCCTTGTGGGCATAAAGTTCCTTTATTGCATCCCGAGCTTTCTTTACATATCTTATAGGCGTCGTAACTCTTTATTCTCCTACTGAATCAAGAATATTATGGTCATTTTAGGTTGAATTTTTTTTTCCCGAGTATGTTTTCCTTAGTCCTACCGGTCTATATTATCTAAATCAAACTAGGCTTGATTAATACCTGTTAAAAGTCCAGGTTTAGTTTCTGCCACCTCTTGACTGTACATGGGAATAGAGATGGCTAAATTAGGCAGAATAGGCATCCTTCTAGGTAGAAAGTTTCTTCATCACATCCGAACAATCACGAACTTCCTTTACATATCTTATAGGCCTTATAACTCGGGATTCTCCTATCGAAAATCCAACATTATGGCCGTTTTAAGTTAACCTTTTTTTTTCTCATATGTTTTCCTTTGTCCATACAGACAAGTTAAACTCATGGATATGCTCTACATCAAACTAGGCCCAATTAGGACCGGCCTGTTTTCCTTTTCCTACTTGGGCTTGGGGTGTAAGCGAGTCGAGTTTTTCTCGAGCCCGACTCGAATAACCTACTGTTCGACTCGTTCACCCCTAGTCCATGTTAACTCATGGATATGCTTTATTACATCAAACTAGGCCCGGTTAAGAAGCCAGTTCGGTCTAGTGACTGTGAGTGTAGATCATAGGAGTAGAAGAAACATAAAAAGGCAAAGGAAACCGAAATACAAATAAAAAACAGCCACAAAGCTGCCCAAAAGTATATTTTACTTATTTTCATCCTGGAAATACATCCAAAAAGTTTTTGAAACCAAAAAAACAAACAAATAACGACTTTCGATTCTCAAACGGAAACGGGGCCATATTGCTTCAATTGCACTATCTGTGTTTGCTGTAATGTTCCCGGTCTCTGTCTCGGTCTCGGTCTCGATCACGCTCCCGTTCCCGTTCCCTTTCTCTTGCCGGAGACGACTCGTACCTCGAAGGTCTCCTCTTGAAATGCCTGTCATCGTCGCTAGATTCATAATCTACGCTGGCGCCGGCCGCGGAGGAGTTTGTGCTACTCTTCCTTGACACCGCCGTGGGACCACCTGCAGATGCAGCTTCGGAGGAACTTGATGTAAGCTTGCGTTTCTTGGAAGCTGCAGCGGCTGCAGCTGCCGCTTCTTCCTCTGGGAAGCTGATACGAGAGAAGACGCTCGGCTTATGTTTCCGATCACTGGCACTAGTTGCAGCAGAGGCTGCCGCCGCTGCTGTAACCGCCTTGGGATCTGAGGTTAGTGGCGCTTGGGGCGGCCTTCGGGTGGTGGATGATTCTGAACGGCGGTGACTCTTGTGCTGCTGCGCATGGTGATGGTGGTGGTGGTTTGCGTCATCGTAGTCATCATAATCATAACGATCGCTAGAAGATTTCCTCTTTGAGGATGGGTGTGGAGGAACATCAGGGCCGTCGTCACGGGAATGGCGGCGTTCAGGTGACGGCCTCTCGGTTCTATGGCGGTGACCATCACTGCTGGGCGGTGGAATTGGTCTCTGAAAACAACATACCATCAGCTTCTAAAACATGTAAAGGAACAAAAACTACTACAGATAAAGGGACAGGGCCCACTTACGGATTTCGACTTCATTGAAGGAGCATCCTCATTGTTGCGCGAGTCTCGGCTGAAGTCCCTCTCTTTCGGTAATTCCCTGCTGCTGTAAGTAAGTTCAAGTAACATAATCTATTAGAACACCCGGGTCCACTGAGATGGAAATTTACCTGTAGGAGAGTACCCAACCCTAACGGGGAAGGGATTCCCTGGTTTGGCAGATAACGGGGCGATGATGGAATTTATTTTTATGCCGAAATGGGTTCGGGGCAGGGATGACACTACCCACCCCTAATCCGACCCCGATTAATTTTTTATTTTATTTAATATATGTATATTGTGTGTATAAATAAATATGTATGTATATATACACATTTATTATTAGATGGTAAATATAATTGATTTTCAATATTGGTAACTAATTGTTTTTGTTATTATTTTTTTACTAACGGATACCCAACAGGTTCCCCAAACCCATCGGGATTAGTCAGGGCGGGGCCTTAAACGGGATCGGCGGATGCATTATCCACCCCGTTTCCAGCCCTAGGGTCCAGCATCCAAACCGTTGAAGTTTAATTTAATTTATTTGGGTGAAATTTGAACTTCTGTTTTTCTCCATTTTGAAGAAATTATGGAGACTATCAGAGACGCTCTAAAATACCTCAAGCAAACGTATTTATCTTAGAATCGCACCAATAAAAGAGAATCGTACATTTTTGTGCAAGTTTGTGGTTAATGAAAGCTTTTTAGGATCTTTTTTCTCGAAAATTTACCGACATTTTGAAGTAATAAACACATGTATTATGCAATTATATGATCTACTACTCATGACATACATACCTTCCAGTTCCACCACCACGTTTCTCAAAATCACGCTTCCACTTTAGTTCGGCTCTCCTTGCTTCAAATTCCTCCCGACTCATAATGGGCGGTCCACCAGGTCCACCGTGACCACCACCATTCATGCCCATCCCCAACTCCGCAAGATCCCTGTAACATATTTTATGGAAATTAAGTGCCTCGGTTATCCAGGATGTCCATGAAAGCATGTCATAAGAAGAAACAAAACAAGAATATTTACATATCCATCTAATGTTTGAACCAAAGATAATTACTAATTTGACTACTTCTAGGATATAAATTCCGATTAACACACCAAACTTTTATTTCCCTAAAAAAATGACTCATCATCTTCAGAATGTATGTGTGCATTTGGCAGGAGAGAACAAGAATCATTCCATGTTAGGCATAGCTTTTGTGTGGAACAGACAAGAACAGAGTGAAACAGGCATGTTCAACCCCCACAGCCCCACTCCATTTCTGGAACAAGCCTATATCTTACCATCATACCCTCAAAATAAAACCCAAGTCTCTTCTAAAACATCAAATAAGTCTCCATCTTTACATTTTATCTATTCTTTAAATTTTATTTATTGTATTTTATCCTCTTCACACTTTCACTTTACCGTCCTCAAAATATTATTTTTAGACGTTTTCTATATTTTTGTTAGCATATGTAGTTTATTAAATATTAATCATAAAAAATAATAAAGAAAAAGGTATAAAGGAGTTAATGAACTTCATATTTTGGTGTCATTCTAATCGTCTTGATAAAAACTTTCTTCTGATATATTTGCCATAAAAAATATTTATTTTATTATTAATTTAATAAATTAGATAAGTTAATCAAATATAGAAAAGATATAAACAACTTATTAGGGGTCAATTGGTCATTTTACCAGTCCTCTCCTACTAAACGTTGATCAGCTAGCTATCCTGTCCTGTTTCTGTCATGTACTGTCCAGGTACCAAACACACCCTTTAGGGTTTAAATTTTGAAAGTTCTTTTTTGACAGAGGGGTCAATTTGGTCATTTCCTCAGGGATAAAAACTCAGATCCCGCCATTATTCACAGATAGAAACAGCAAGTAAAAAGCAGGATATGCAAACCCGAAAGAGCACCTACCTCTGAGGTGGGATAAAAGGAGGCATCATGAGCCCTGATACCCCAAAAGGATCCTGAGGGAACATGCCTCCAAATGGAACATCCATTGGCCCAAGTCCATAACCACCCATATACGGCATGCCACCACCATACGGCCCCATAAATGCGTCCATTCCGGGCTGCATGCCGTTCCAATAAGGATTGTAAGGAGAAGGACCTGGAGGCATCATATAGTTTTCAGCTGCAAAATCCTGGGAGGCCCGCCACTGCATCTCTGCAGCTGCAAATTTGCAAAAACAACAAAATATTAACATCAATGACAGTAAAAACTAGGGGTGTATAGTTTCCTTAAATTGGTTAGATTTTCTGGTATTTGTTTCTGGTTGTATGTTATTGCTTACTCGTAATCGGCTTTTTAAAACTTTATCATGTCTTTCTATCTACGTCACACTTTTCACAAGCCAGGTTATAAAAAATAGCAGCTCTAATTTTTTAGGGAGAGTTCAGATCTGCATACATCTTACCCCCGAACCCACCTCCAGGTGAGATATACTGACTTCGTTTGTTTTGGTTTTTTAGTAAAAAGCCATTCCATCTTATTTTTGGTTGATTGTGTATGGAATATATATATATATATATATATATATATATATATAAACCCATAGGCTACCAGCAACATTATAAATCCTTTCAATGTGACACAATATTAATTGGTATAAGCAACTGAGATGCTTCAAAAGTTATAAAAGTGAACGGAATTCTACCACTTATAGGCATGTTGACCTTCTTCTTTTTCTTCTTCTTCGCTGGAAAAGAGAGAGAGAGAGAGAGAAAATGTAAGCGGACATTATACCTAATTGGATAAACAACAAACAATACAATTCTCTAGTCCTGCAATATTACACGGTCAAGTTGCATCAAAATGCAATAAAGAACTTTTTTTTTCAATCAATGTAACAAACTTCCAAAAGTTCCTATTTAAACTTGGTTTGGTTTTTTTTACCATGTTTCTAAAGTTTGCCAATCTTGAAACATTTGGTGATGCAGATGTCAAGTTTATTATTCATTTGTCGTAAACCTTCCGTAAACAGGTATCCACATCATCAAATGTTATAGCATCAGCAAGTTATTGGTCAAAATGGGTACAAAATAGGAAATTTTGAAACTTTGTTAATTGATCGATAAAGAAAAATCTTCATTACACTAAATAGAATCTAAAGCAAACTTTGTTGCATTTTGCACCTATTACAAAATCTCACAACTTTTTTGTTTTCATTATTCATGCAATTCATATAACCTTCCCCGCTGGATGTTGGAATATTTACCTGCCTCACTAGGAACTTGCTTCTGCTGCACTTCATCATCAGCCACCCGAGCGCTTCCCTGTGATGCTGGTTCCATCATACTTTTTGACTCATATGTAGCTTCAGAGACATCAGGAGCTTTTGCAATTTTTCCTTTCCCCGAGACTGGCTGCTGAACTATAGGATCTGCGTCATTTTCTGCCGGGCCCGGGCCTTGCCGCGTCATTGTAGTCTCACCATTCGGTGGTGGAGCTTGCTCCCCCTTGGAGGCTGCAGACCGTGAAGGGGATGCAATCTTAGGCTGTGGCGGTGCACACCTAGCAGACTCCATATCTGAATATCGAAAATAAACGAATAAATAGAGATTAATGAACAATGGTCAATGCTGGAATTTTGGAAACAATTAGGTTTAGGAGTTGCACGCACCTTGAACGTGAAAAGCACTGCCACCATTTTCAGCACTGCTATTATTTGACTCCAATATCCGGTTGATTGTATCCCTCAGTGTCTTATTGGGCAAGAGATCATCTGCAAGCACATTCGTTGCACCACAGACACACACTGCTTTGGAGATAATGTGATCTCGTATACCTGTTGGTATATTCAAGATAAACAGGATCAAATATCCATAGAAAGATCACCTTCAGAAGATAGGCACATAGACAAATATTTGTAAAAAAGGACAATTGGGTATTAGTGCCCAAGAACTTGAACGATACACATAAGTTAATTACTTCATTGAAGTTGAATATATATATACACACACACACGATCATCCCTTCCCTTCGGACAAGAAAGAAAAACAAATATCAACATTGTTCGGATAAGAAGCACCAACTTCAGGAGGTTTGATCATGCAAACACTATAAGGAAGTCCAAATGAAGACCTCCTGACCATTATCAACATGTTTTCCTTGTATTTTTTATTAAGTTTTGCCACTAAATGTCTGTACGTATGTAAAGCAAAAAGTAATGATTAAATAAATGAGTACACAATTTCAGTAGAGGTGTCACCACACACAAAATTGAAGAGCCAAAAAACTTACATTTATCACAGAAACTCGTGAAACAGCACTTGCTTGTGAGAACAGCATCTTTCATCACTTCTTTGCACAAAGGGCAGTGGAGTTCTGGGGGGAGATCACCAACGGTACGAGTAGAAGGCATCCCTTCGATCTCCTTCTCAAAAGCAGCCCTGTTGTACAAAAATTAAGCACAAGAAAACTAGTTAATTTATGCAAACACAAATTTACAAAGCCTGAGAAAACTACAGCATGTAATGCAAATGAAGGAACATACTCATTTGGCCTCAAAACCGCCACTGCACCACTGGGTAATGCATATGAACCATCCGGAGTAGCCATTAACATAGATTTTGGAATGCCAGTCGGAGGTTTCACTCTCTTGATATCAAAATTAGGATCACCATTTGTGGGGCAATGCTGAATAAAATGTCCTGGTAAAGGGGATTATATAAACTGGATGGTTACTTATAAGTTTCTCGATTAAAAAATGAGAACTGATCTATCTCCGGCTTTTGCAAATTTTCAGAAAGTAGCAAATCAAAACTGATGAATCTACCTGGGGTTTTGCATCGGTGGCATACATAGCCTGGAGGTGGTGTTTTTCGCTCAAAGCCGCCACCCCGACCTAAATATTCAAAAGTGGGATTCAGTTTCCAACAGCACAATTGCAACACAAGCATGAATATAACACAGACATTATAACCCTGCACCTTAGCGTAGCAAGAGATGTTAATTTGCTTTTAGATTTAAACAGTAACAGGTATTCTGTTTCTACGCTCTTTCGTACTGTTTCTATTTTACAACAATTCTTAGCTGATGGAGCAAAGCAAGTAAATTGTCCTCTTCATGTGTCAAGTTTGAGATTAACATACCATCTCACCTCATAATAAAAAATGTGACAAGATATATAACATATACGTTACTAAATGATTGAATCAGCTCTATATCAAGAAAATAGGAAAGCTAAAAGATGGTTACCAAAACCACGCCCACCCATTCTACCACCCATTCCACGCCCAAAGCCTCTACCAGCGCCAAAGCCATCAAAATTTTGCCTGCAAGTTAAAAAGCCAACATAAATCCCCCACATGAAAACAAATCATCACAAAGGAGTCTAAAACTCGGAGGGAGATCTCACTGCTGCCAATCCAAGGCTGGTGTATCAATTAAGGCCTGAATTTTGCTGTCTTCATCAGCTTTACTAGGCGCGGGAGCATCTTGAAGTTGATTGCTAGAAGCAATCGGCACAACTTCAGGAATTTCATACAAGTCGTTTCCAAATTCATCGTATTCTGAACCATCAAGCTACAAAATCCCAAAAATTAATGTGTTATCGTCCCTAGGTGCTGAGTGTGTAATCCTGATACATTACAACCAAGATCCTAGAACATTTATCGCTAGATAAAGCTTACATAGTTGGGAAAAGAGAGGCCAGCTCCTGAAAAGTTACTCTTTGCTGATTGCGCACTCTCCAGATCATTAACCACTTTTGGCCTGCAGTGCAAAACACAAATAACAACTCAACTAATGCCCTAGAACTTGACTCACATAATGTTATCATCCAACATGCAGAAAACTTTTGCAGGATTGTAAACCACTATATGGTTGGATGACCACCAAAAGAAGTGGCCAACGATAAGCAGTACAGCCTAAGCTACCAGCAAACATGGTATCTCCAACTAACTAAAATATGAACAACTTAAATTAAAAGTTTGAAACTGTACTCGGCTTGTTCAGTAACTGGTGCTGCAACTATAGGCATGCGAGGCTGTCCAGGAATTCGACGAATTAAAACAGAAGTATTTTTGGGGATCAACATGTCTTCATCAAGATATTCTGAAATTACAAAACAGAACACGTCTGTGAAACACTATAAATCGATCAATGGACTTCAACCAACTACAGTATAATCCCCAATAGTACCCAAACGACAACCCATTTCTGTACACTTAGTAACATAACTACTAGCTAGTTTAACAATCTACTAGATGAATTTATGTGAATCCCATACAATCCGCTAACTACAGTCTAGAAAAACTTAACCACTCTTGAACAAATATTTCTTGCCAGCGCAGAAATTGTAAATTGAGCAACACATAATCCTAGCCTCTAGTTTACTTCCTCCAAACCGCTATACCATCAGCAGGCTACTCGAAACAAAACAATACATGATAAACACCTTTTCTTCTTAAAGGGTCACGCTCACCCTAATAAAGTTCATTAGGAAGTCAAGCAGTTAAGTCCAATTTCAGTTAAATCCCCCAATAGACACTTAAGACATTGAAATTCAAGAACACAAAAATTGACTAGGTCCAGAACTTAAAACCCACCTTCATTAGTCTGGGCGTTGGTGACGACAAGATCATAATCAGTGCCCCTGCCCAATTGCTTTGATTCATATATTTTTTCTTTCAAAGAGGCAACTGTTATAAAATGGCCATCGATGGGAATCGAGTCATAATCTTTTGCACTTTTAAACTTGTAATATACTGCCATAATTTAATATAAATTCTTTTCTTTTCCCTCAAAAAAGATATCAGGAACAAGCACAAAATGCAATACTAGTATCAATAAAGGCGTTCATATAAAAGAAAATTATCAAACGCCTGAATTGAACACCGAAACAAAAAGATGTAATAACAGTACAAAAATCGACGACCAAGAATCCCTATTTTTTCGTTTTTCCACTCTTCAGTAACTCTGGAAAAGATCAAACCGACTCAGGAAAGGCTTCAAACTGCAAAAGGCTTCAATCAAATCCTTGAAACATCTTCGCGCCGCCAATCCTTCGAATTTTCGAACGATCTGCGTAGATTCTTCAGTTCGTCAGAATCTTACGTTCAGATACACCTCCACAGGAACTCTTACTTTCAATATCGATGAAAAAAATCGAAGGATCTCACGAACTAGGGCCTCCAAAATAACCGATTCCTCGGACGATAACGAGTTACCCTAATTATTCTATTTGCCGCCAAGCTCTTCCCGTGCTTGATTCTTCCGATACAACGATAGATTCGCTTCGAATTTCTCAGATCTACTTACGGATTACCCGATTTCCTTCCAGTCGTCGTGAATCTGGATATATAATCGACAGATTCTCCAAACTCGAATTGAACCTCAGTTTTCCGGCGATTAATCTTGCGAAACGCTTTGAGGAGCTCACGAATTGGAGATTAGTTGTTGAAAATAATCAAGAAGATCGTAAGGTAGGATGCAAATTAGGGCAAAATCGAGAGAACGCTGTATCCCAATAGGTGTGAGCCTCGCCCCCCTTTGGAGATAAAAGCGGGCTGTACTTTAGCCTTATATAGTAGCAATATTTACACTTTAACCCCTTATACTTTACTAAATACCAAAGACGTCCTTGAAGTAATCTATATAAAATAAATATCTATAATAAAAAATTATAGACGGTTGTTTTTATTTATAAATCTAATAATTGGTGTAAATTGTAAACTATCAAACCAGTTTCATTAGTCTAATGAATATTTGATCCAATAAATATATCAGTGATTTCTTAATATAAAGTAATAATTAAAATAAATAAATTCTAATAATTTTTTCTATAAATATCTAAATAACAATTAATAATTTATTTTTATTTTTATTTTTATTTTAATTTCAATTAATTGATTTGTAAAAAATCTCTTCTCAAAATATAGAAAGTTTCAAAAACATATATTACATTTTCTAGTTACTAAATAATAATTTATAATAAATAAAATAATTAAAATGAAATTAAAAATAACATTTTCTTTTAAAAATTAATATATATACTATATTATAAAATATTTGACAAAATCTCTTAAAAACTATTTTTAATGTATTAAGTACTGTTTATTGATGCATATTACTTAAAATTCAAGATTATAAGTAATTATCCGTATGTACAACCTATCAAAACTTCATGTTTGAATTTGTGTAACTAACTACAAATAAACATAATCAAATTCTGGATAATTATTTCATTTTAAATATAAAAAATCTAAAATATATTTAGGATAATCATTGAATTCAAAATATTAAATATTATCTTTATAAAAAAATTATATTATTAAACTAAAAGTAAACGACTTTATTATTAAATCTAAATTAAATTATAATAAAAAATATAATTAAAAAAATTACACAGAAAACAAGAGCTTTTAAATATTTAATTTGACACAGAAATCGATACATGTTTTTTCAAAATTTTATGATATCTTCAAATTTATATTTTATTAAAAAAAATAAAAACAATCTCGTTTATATTAAATGAAAATATATAAATATTAATTTTGGATGGATGATTTTAAAATAACTCAAACTCAACTTGTATTTCATCTCCTTTTAGAAAGTTCTATCCCATTTCAAAATATTTAGAGCGTGTTTGGTATATTATTCGGTATAAAACAGAATAGAGATTCATGTTTTATATTTGATAGAATTTTTATGTGAAACAGGGTTGTTTTATTCTTACTCCATGGAACATAGTGGAACAGACTTATATTTTACCAACATAATCTCAAAATAAAATTTTAATTCACTTCTAAAACATTAAATATGTTTTTTTTACATTTTGTTTATTCTTTAAAGTTTATTTATTGTATTTTATGTTTTTAAACTTTTATTTTATTGTCTTCAAAATATTATTTTTATATGATTTCTATATTTTTATTATA